CAAGTGAGAACAGTGATCTTATAAGAAAGTTGGCTATGTATGTTGAGAATTCTATGCAATTAAGAAAAAATCTGTTAATGTAGGCAATATGTATTGTGGCTGCTGTGTCATAGGTCGATGGCCTACGTCTCTTGCTGAATAAACCACTAAACTAAAACTACAGAGCAAGATATCAAGAGAGATTGACTCCTTATGTTTTTGTTGTCATTTAACTTCATCTTAAACTTTCATTACTTTTTAAGTTTGATTTGATAATTTGCGACTGGGAATTATTTCACCTTAGTGACAATGCTTGTTTTAGACTAAGTCCAAAACGATTCCATGGAAACCGAGAAAAAACATATAGATGCAAAAAATCTGTTAATGGCAAAAGGCACCACTTAAGGTTCTGTTTAATATTTCTACCAATTTTGTTGAAAAATATTCAACGATTTTTTAGTTATGCTCTGGAAACAAAATGATTACATGCTGGGGATAAAAAGAAAATAGAATGTGCAATGTGTGAGATTGTGGTTATCAGAACAATAACATGTATGTTTAGGGACTTATAATTTAGAAAATAGTATTGACGTGCACAATTAGAGTCACTCACTGTTAAACACTTAAGTTCCCAATATAAGCCCATTTCTGGTGTCCACTGCGGATGTTTCGCAATATGGGTACCTGAATAGCAATATAATGCAATAAAATTTATTTGCCAGTACTCAACCCTAATTATCAGCTTTTGTGAATGTTATCTGGAAGGGAGAGAGTTGTATTCTGAAGATGTGAACATACGTGCTGCCACTTAATATTTTCCTCACGTTTCTAAGAATTTGCAACTCAAAAAAACTGCCAATGACATCAGGGCCCTTATTCTCAAAACGTTTGTAGCCCTAAGTTAACTTTGATCGTAGCCAGTGTGTTAAGAATGGGCTGAAGAAGTTCATAGGGCTACGAACGTTTCGAGATTAGCTAGCTAGGTGAATAGCCAATGATTTTATGAGTGGTATTGGTCATTTTTTTTATGTTGTGTTTATATTCTATGCCTACACAATATGTTAAATGTTAAGACTTGTAAAAAAATGTTTTGAAAAACAATTTCCTTAGAGTTTCATCTGTGTTCAAAATGCCTCAAACTGCAAACTGACAAAATACAGCCTGTCCTGGCCTTTCTTGTAAGTTAGATCAGTATTTGAATGGAGAATAGTGCTCCATTGTATTTAAGTGAACACAAATTTGAACATAGTTCATAAATATTGTCTTTGGACTCTTTTTAATATGTTGTACATGTTGATTTACCAATCTCTAGATGAGTGGAGACTTTGAACTAATGTTAAATGTAATTATGTAAGGCGTTAATAGTTACTTTATTGTAGGATTCCCTAAACCAGAATGTCACTACTTCAGAAGAGAATTAAGTCTTTTAAGATATTTGCTGTTACTGGTGATTTGGCTTTAGTAATGAAATAGCTAAGAGTAAGTCAGTAGTGTACAGAGTGATAATAACCCACTGACTTGTCAAAACACAAGACAAACTTTCTTACCCTTTACTCTTTGAATTAAAACAATCACGTTGTTGATATCATATTGAAACTCTTGCATTTATCTTGTTCTTGACAGTTAATTCTACACATAAGAAATATTTTGTAAGCCGTTGTGACTATTTGCGATTTCACCGAATCTGATGCCCACTGATTGAAGTGTCAGCTACTTTATTATCTGCTGAAGACATGCACCAGTTGAATCTCACTTTCTCCTTGAATGACAACATCACAGCTGTAAGAAACTCAGGAAAGTTTTCAATGGAACTAGCCCCAACACTTTCTGTTAGTATTTCAGATTTTATGCATATGTCTTTCTTGATACTCGAGGTGGCTAATAAGACCAAAGTTATTCTGTCATACAAACCCTGAAACAAATATATAGATATATAAGAAAGCCAATGCAAGTCTACTATAGATGGCAAGTCTAGAATAGTAGGGTTCCAGAAAGTCTCTGGGCTCCCTTTCCTTTTATGATTATGATATATAAGGAACCGGGTTTTTTTTCTGTAAAATATGTTCAAAATGAAAATGTCTTATTGCTAATTGCCTAAATTACTTGTGAATGTGTTGATGATGCATGTAAAGTCTTTCACGATGTTTTCATAGGATATGTTAGTTCATGTGTACATTCTAAAACTGTAACGATTTGTCCTGATGATAAGCCTTGGTTCGATACTGAGTTGAGACGGGAATGCAGAAAACAGGATAGAATGAGAAAGAAAGCAAAAAGAACTGACCGTGAAAGAGATATTCGATTGTATAAGAAACAAAGAAATAAAGTTAACAATATGAAATACCTCGCAAAAGAGAATTTTTATTCCAATCTTGATGATTTTATCTCTGAATTACACTTTAAAAATAAACCCTCCTACTGGAAAATGCTGCGATATGTTGTAAAACATTCAGGTACAGCAACTTGCATTCCCCCTCTCAAACAATATCCTAATGATGATGACCCGTCGCTTTTCTCAGATATTGATAAAGCTGAATTTTTAAATAACTACTTTGCCTCGATCTCCTGTGTAAATGACGAGAATAATGGCTCCTCCTCAATTTGATAGATGTACAAAATCCACTTTAGAATTTATAACAGTGACTAAACAGGAAATTACAGATATAATTAGATGTTTGCCACTGAATAAAGCTGCGGGTCCCGACAGAATAAGCCATAAGCTTTTAAAAGAAACTGCTCATTCAATAAGTGCGCCATTATGTTTGCTTTTTGAATTGTCATTAATTGTCGGTAAACTGTTTGAGAGAGTTGTATTCAAGCATATATCTAACTATTTCAACGAGAACTAGTTATTGTACAAATACCAAGCTGGTTTTCAGACTGGGAGTTCACCTGTCCATCAATTAATTGAAATATATCATCAAATATGCCAAGCTCTAGATGATAAGGACCAATATTGTATGGTCTTTTGTGATGTTTTGAAGGCTTTTGATCGTGTTTGGCACAGAGGGCTTATACATAAATTGGAAATGTATGGTATTAAAGGTAGATTGTTAGTGTGGTTATGTAATTACATATGTAATCGCTATCAAAAGGTCTTTGTTAATGGAGCCCTGTCTAAACCAAGGTTACTCCAAGCTGGCGTCCCACAAGGATCAGTGTTGGGTCCGTTTTTATTCATTGTTTATGTAAATGATATTGCTGATGACTTAGATTGCATAAGGGGCGGTGGGGTAGCCTAGTGGTTAAAGCGTTGGCTCGTCACGCCGAAGACCCGGGTTCGAATCCCCACATGGGTACAATGTGTGAAGCCCATTTCTGGTGTTCCCCGCCCTGATGTTGCTGAAATATTGCTAAAAGCGGCGGCGTAAAACCAAACTCAGTCAGTCAGTCAGTTAGATTGCATAATGCGACTATTTGCAGATGACACATCATTAGGCAAGGCTTCTGGAAATCTTAACAGAATAGAAACCTCATTAAACATAAATCTCAGAAGGTTAAACGATTGGGCAAACAAGTGGTTGATGTCATAGAACCCAGATAAGACAGAATCAGTACTTTTCTCACTTAAAGATGATATTTGCTCGATTAAATTACTATTTGACGATAAGATTGTTAAAACGGTAGAAGATCATAAACATTTGGGGATAATACTTTCATCGAACGGCAAATGATCCTCCCATGTATCTAATATTGTTTCGAAAACCTCTAAAATGATTTACTCAATGAGAAAACTTAAATATATTCTTAACAGAAATACACTTCTAAAGATTTACACAGTTTTTATAAGACCCCACTTTGAGTACGCATGCAAAGTCTGGGATGGCTGCGGAAAAGAACTAAGTCTAAAATTGGAAAGGCTCCAGATGGAAGCTGCAAGAATTATTACAGGACTTCCCAAATATTCTTCTTTTAATTCACTATATTATGAAACAGGCATGGAAGCACTATCAGAGCGTAGAAGATTAAGAAAATTGTCTTTGTTCTACAATGTTCAAAACAACAAAAGTTCAATCAACCTAAAAGAAATAATTCCTCAGTAAGTGGGCTCCAGGAGTCAATATAATCTAAGAAATTCAGGTAATATCTGCTTGCCAAGAACAAGAATAAAACATTCTCATGAGTCGTTCTTCCCATCAACTATAAGATTGTGGAACAATTTACCTACAGATGTAAGAAACTGTACTTCACTATCAAAGTTTATATTGAGCATAATAACATCATATAACTCAGCTCCACTGTACTTTTCTTACGGTATTAGAAAATTTAACATATTACATACTCAACTACGTCATGAAGCTAGTAGTTTAAGTTACAATCTGTACATGTGGAAACCCATGCGAAAATGCTCATCAGTATTTCTTAGAATGTTCTTAATACAATCAACATTGAAAGATCATGCTGAATGCTATTCAAGATGTATGTGGTATCTGTTATTTTAAACGGCATTGCAGATCTGACAAATCATAAAAATGAAATTTTATTCAAAAATGTACATCAATATATATGCAAATCTAAACGATTCCAGTAGTCTTCTCTCTATACACCTTTTGTATTGTAGCATTTCCCCCTGTTATCTTTCAGTCTTTCTCTGTCTCTGTTTCTAATAATTGCTTGTGATGTAATTAGTTATTGTAAATATCTTTGGAGAGGGGTTTAATAAGTTGAAAGAACTTGTCCCCAATCCTTTTCCCATTGTGAATAAAATATGTTTAAACTAATTACTTTTACAATTCAGTTTCATCGTTAGTTATCTGTATGACAAGTAAACATTGTAATAGGCCTACATAGATATAAACAGGGATTCTCAGACTTATTGTAGGAACAATGGACTGTATTTGCAACTTTGCTTGCTACTGTATTTAACATAAGTTTGATTGTCAGCCTAATTTGTAAGGAAGAATGCTTCAAAAGGTTACAGTATTTGAAGTATGAAGAAAGTTTTAAAATGTTTTTCCGAGTTCTAATGCCTTCCAAAGACAATTTCTCCTGTTCCTTAAATCTTTGCTTCAATATTGCAGACACTCTATCCCATAGACACCAAAGAGAGTGGAGGAGCCCTAGCAAGCAGCATAGGTAAGTTGTTCAGATACCAAATTTTTCACATAGCCATTTTCATTTATTACATGTTTCATTTCAATTTGATACTTTATAGGAGGTCTCATCACATAACTCTGATCATACAGTCTGATCGGAGGCTTCTGTCAAACAGCTAGCACAGCATTCATAGCAGCATGCTTACCGTATATGACCGTCTATAAGCCGAATTTTGAGGACCAAAAAAAGCAGTCTGTAGAAGGTGGTCGTCTTATCCATGGGTTACGCTTCCATCAAACTTTTTTCCAGGGGTAAGAAAACAACATCGTATCACTTCGCGTGAACAAACAACAGAAGATGACTTTGTCAGTAGAGACGTCAAATTTGCAATTAAACATCACTAGACAAGATTATTTACCTTTTAAGTTCTAATTTGTTTTTGCTGGGCATTGTATTATTTGCAGGGATTAAGATTACCGTGTGTATCTGAGCCCGAAATAGCAATCAGCTGTGCACGTTTCCCGGCGATCAAGTTCAAACATTCACAGATAATATAACGGGACGAATTCTGACGCAGTCATCAGTAAAATATAATACAGGATACTATTATTTAACCCAAAGAAATATATCCTAGCATTGTGTAATTTTAGTTACAGTTTTTGCTCTATAAACTTATATGCACAAAACATACCATTTTGACACTACTGATTTTAGGGTCAAGTTTGGGGGTCGTCTTATCCATGGGGTCGTCTTATAGACAGTCATATACGGTACTACTTTCAATTGGGAAATAAAATCAGACAGCTACGTTGAGAATAAAAATGTGTGTTGTAAATTTCAATCATTGATATAACGATTGCCTTTCAGCTTTGATTTCATTTCTTGTATGCCAACTATCAGTAAAGTCTCTGTAAAGCAGTTTCTGAATGCATCAGTTTGACAATGTGCTCCAGAATTTTTTTCGACAAATACAAAGTGACATATTCCATTTTTAGAGGAAGTTACTGAAGCAATTCAGGAAAAAGAATAATTTTCAGAATAAATGCTCAAAGTACAGTACCAATTAATGGACTGTATAATTCTGTTTGTCTTACTGGCACAATGTCACACCACACTTCTCTAAAGATAATAATAATGCTTTTCTCTCAATAATACTATCAGCCCTCAGGGAAGCTACCATATAATGTATTCCAAAAAACAATTACATCTTTAGATTACAATATTAAATTATAATGTTTGAATGAATTAATGCAGCGTTTCATTAAATCTACTGGTGCGCCCTCTACCGGCTGAACATTATTTCAAGCAAACCTTGGAGTGCTCTTTATGAATATCCTAAGCACAACTTGTGATTGAAACCAGTTTGGCACACACTGACAACACCATGTGTGACATTTTTGGGATGTACTGAGCAGTAGTTCACATTCCATATACATTGTACTTCAAGTGTTCTGTTTGGAAGCTGTCTGCCTTGAAGTTTCAATTATCGATTTCAGGCAAGTTGTAAGAGATAATAAGTCTTTTATTGCATCATTAAGAAGCTAAAGTGATGTAACGATCTCAACGCTGACAAACACAGCAGACATATATCAGAGAGAGTAGATTGTTTGTGTGGCCACCCTACTGAAGATGCTTGTCATTACTTCTTTGTATGTTCCAGATTTGATGCTATAAGAGTAAATGAATTTTATTATACCAGTGGCTTTTGATTAGAAACAATCTTATATGGAACGTCTTCCATGAACCCTCAAACTCAATTCGATATCTTTAAATCAGTCCATAAATTTATAACTGAAACTAGACTTTTTAACTGAGATAATCCTCTGCTACAACCTATAATTCTCAAAACTATACTGCTATTGACCTGGACTGCAAATGCCATAAATATATACAACCAGCATGATCTTAATCTTCTGACTACATGTCATAACATCTATTTTCATTAGATATCATTGTTCTTGTCATGATACTGTTTCATATATCTATGTATATTGGAGTGGTCCCGACAGTCAGGTCTTGCAGGTAATGTGAAGAGAAGACTGTATCAGAATGTCCATGATAGCGGTCAAGGAGTAGTTGCTATTGAGGGCCATCGTCAAGGCTAGTGCACGAGTCTCATGAGGATTGGAAGCGGCTGGAGGAGGCAATCCTGCAAAAGTGTAGGCTCGCAGGATCGTGGCACGCATCCAGAAGACAAATGTGGTCTGGGAAACCTCAGTTCTTGAAGCGGTCGACAATAGTAAGAAGAGAAGCTTCCATAGCCGTCGACGATCATTGGAGGCAGCAAGGTAAAAGTGTAGAGCCCTAAGAGGGCAGAGTGTCAACTCTTCATTATCATCAGGCCTAAGAATGGTGGACAATGGGGGATGGTAAACATCCAGTCCGGTTGCCGTCGACAATCCTTGGAGGCAGCAAGGTAAAAGTGTAGAGCCCTAAGAGGGCAGAGTGTCAACTCTTCATTATCTTCAGGCCTAAGAATGGTGGACAATGGGGGATGGTAAACATCCAGTCCGGTTGCCCTGGCAGTTGGTTTTTCGCAATGAAGTCCCAGCGGAGACCCAGAAAAAAACTTGCCATGCTTCTTCCGCTCGACCCAAACCCGACTGACATCAATCGCATGCAGTTCAGATATACGAGCAGCGGTAGCCAAAGCTACCAGGAAGAATGTCTTGAATGTCACTTGTTCGAAGTCCTTGTCTTCTAACGTTCATAGTCTGTAGAAATCAAATGACGAAGGATGACAGACAGATCCCAGGCTGGAGGTCTGAACTTCCTGGACTGGTCAGAGAGTCTATAGGAGTGTAATAGGCTCTGCAACTCTGGAAAAGTGGAAATCTTCGTGCACGTAGTGGTAGCCAAAACCGAGTTGATGGTGGCTAAGTAGGTAGCTAACGTAGTACCCTTGAGTTTCTTAGTAGTGCGGAGATGCTGCAGAGGTAAAGTGGGACATGCAATTCCCCTAACCTTGCAATAGTCTTCAAACTTTTTCCACTTTTTGTCGTACAAGGAACGGGTCAAAGTACGATGCGCTGAAGTAATAGCTGTGGTCACTCGGCAAGAGTAGCCCTTAGATATGAGAAATTTCTGAAGATATGCCAAACATGTAGATCAAGGGTCTGAGATGACCCCTGGCATAGTTCTGCGTGAGGGTGAAGAAGTAGGTCATCCTGGTTGAGAAGTGGTACTGGGTTTGGTTCTGCCAATCTTCTTAGGTTGACAAACCAACTTCTTGCTGGCCAGAAGGGTGCGACCAAAAGCAGTAGTATGTTGCTGGTGGCCAAATGTTATGTATAACTTTTGGTAGCAGAGCTGGAGATAGGAACATGTAAGCATTGAGACCCTCCCATGATAATGCTAACGTGTCAAAGTCCCAAGCCATGGGGTCTAGGATTGATGATATGAACTTCGGAAGTTGATTGTTGAACCTTGTGGTGAATAGATCTACTTGATGCCGTGATAATGGGTAGATCATTCACTGGAAGATCTCAGCTTCCACTATATCGGGGACGGACGGACGGTTGGATCGAGACAAGGCATCGGCAATCACACTTTTTACCCTGGGAATGTGTCTGGCTCTGGCTACAATGTTGAGAGAGTCAATGTGAAGGAAGACCCTGATCGCCCATTGTAGCAGATTCGTCGAGCCTAGAAGATTTAATATACCAAACCACTGTTGAATTGTCTGAATGAATCAACAGAATAATTGATTGAAGCTCTGTTGCCCGATGTGAGATGGTTGTTATATGAAGTACCCGTTCGTCGGATGACCACAGCCCGGCCACTTGGTGGTCGAGGAAGTGAGCTCCCCAACCCTTAAGGGATGCATCGACGAATAGGTGATGAATCGATACAAAGGACATCATAGAGACTCTGGCACAGACATTTTGTTCGTCTAGCCACCACTGAAGGACTGGACAGAGCGGATCTGGAAGGTAAATCAGTTCCAGTAGAAATCGCTGTATCAGCTGAAGTTGAAGCTGACCTCTGTATGTTAAGGCTTGAGCTGATGTCAGAAGACCCAGTAGCTCCTGTCACTGACGTAAGGTTCTTGCTTGAGACTGCGCTGTAGGATACATTGCTGAATCCTTATCCAACTGTCATGAGGAACGAACATCATCCCCTGACAAGTGTCGACCAGTGCTCCAATGAATTGGGGTCTCTGAGTCGGTATTAGTTCCGATTTCTCAATCTTCAACAGCCACCCTTACTGCCTGAGCAGCATGGTGGTGAACTGAAGTTGGCGAAGCAATACAATCGGATCCTGTTAAGCTTGAATACAATCATCTATATAGCTGAAAAAGCCACGGGCAGTGGAAATTCCAAATGGTAGGAATTTCCATTGGTAGTGATTCCCATTGAACAAAGCAAAGGTACATCTGTTGTTCTAGATGTATCGGAACGTGAGGATAAGCATCCTGAAGATCTAGACTGATGAGGTAGTCTCCCTTCTCCAGGATTTGTGTAATAGGTTGATCAACACTAGGGCTGCAACGAATACACTATGTGGTGAATATGATACGTATCATGAATATTGGGTAACGAATACTAATAATTATTCACGAATACAATATTGTTGTTAAGTGATTGATTTACAATATGGAACGCCGTTGTTGACAGTTTTTATTTGTCACAGCAATAACCAGTGATCTCATGACACTCAAATTTGGTATGTAATAGTTATAGTCGACAGTACCATGTGCAGCCTTGGCCAACTAACATGACTTGCGCTACTGCATTGCTAGTACATATTCAATCCTTGCATATCTCACTTTCCAAAAGTACACAAGGGTTCAAGTAAAACATGCTCCCTTAAAAAAATCGTAAATATTCGTTAATATTCGGTTTTGGTGACCACGAATAACGAATTGAATTCATGAAGGGCTTCGGTTCGATTCACCGAATATACGAGTGATTCGTTACAGCCTTAATCAACACCATTCTGAAGTGAGGCGGTGGAAGCTCCTGACACTCTCGAAGGGACATCCCCTGAGATAGGAACGTTCAGTTAGTTCAGCTGTCATGACAATACTGAAGGAGTGCTATGTAGTAGGTTCTGCACATGGAGATTGTCAATCAATCTACAGGAACGTTCACAATGTAAAGTGTGATAAAGGTCGTACGATCGGCGAGCTCAGGAACGTCTGATTCGCCGAATGGAGTGCTGGTTCGCCTGATGCAGTGATAAAGGTAGTAGAATCGATGCATGAGGATCGTCCAGGCATTGCTGCAGTGACCTCTGAACTGAAGGCTTGGGCTAATGTAGAAAACCGTGTAACCCTAGCCAAAATTAAAAGCGTTCTTGGGCGTTCTGTCTTTCACCTTTGGTTAGCTGTCACTCTCGGCTGGCTGACGAATCCCGACATAATCACTCTTACCGGGCATGGCACCGTTCATCGTCACTGGCAATTAAAAGCTGGGATTGTCAACCGCTTCGTGAGATCAATACAAGTCTGTCGGGGCACTTCATAATCACTTTTATCATCAAAATTTTCCGGTAAACAAACAGTAGTCCGCCATTTGCAAATGTTACCCACAATGCAACAGTGACAAAATCCGGACAACACGGTCTTCAGTTAACCGGGCGAATCACAACCCAAGACATCACTGCTGATACCATGAGCAGAAACTTGACCCATCTGTCCAGAAGGTTGCTGATGAAGTAAAAGGAAGGGTGATGCAGATGACAAACCAGTCCATAACTGCACCCATTGATACACCATAACGCTGTAACGAGTAGTCTGTAGTAACAGGACTCAGTGAAGCATTGTGAATTATTCCTGGATAGCAAGTTTGTCTAGTAATGCACAATGGGTTGTTGTAGAGCTGATATCTATGCCGAAAGGTAGATTCGTTGAACCGAATCGTTCATCAAAGGTGAAGATGGGATGGTAGATTAAATCAAGAACGAGATGAGCCCCGATAACATAGGAGTCTTGGAGATCCGGGATCGTCAGACCATCAAGTGCCGACATAAACTAGATGCCTGCGCTAGTGACATAGCTACTACCTCAGTTCAACCAGCAGATAAGGGTACCAGGTGGGATAAGTCATGTGACCAAAATCTTCTAGCGCCTCACAGGCCTAAAGGTAATCTGAAGAGCCAAGTCAGATTCCCGTGTTAATAGCATATCACTCCGTGGTGAGGAATTCTGCCCATCACAAATGGCCTGAATATTAACATCATGTTGACAGCTGGTACAGTTCGACAAATTGGCCATATCTAAATGCAAGTTCATGATCCTTCATATTGAATGTAGTACATAAATCATCTGGTATCTTGCTCTAGATAGCTGTAGCTGGTCAGCGAACCAAGTGATCATGGTTGTATGTTGAAACAAACTAAATTATTCCTGCATCTTAATTCGGCTGTTGTCTGAGCGTCTGCGTAGGTAGAGATTCGCCGAACCTCAATGAACGCTCTGAAGATGAGCCGTGTTGGAAGTTGCACAAAACAAGAGTGGGGATTTGCCGAATTGAGCTGATTCAGTGAAGCAGTAGAGTTGGTAGGCAAGGTCCTAGGAACGGATGATTCGTCGAATGCTGATAGTTTGATATATGCTGACAGTTCAGTGATCTTGAAATCGAGGTGAATCGATTCGGTCTGATTCGATGATATGATGCTGTTCGGTCTGGTAAATCGGTTTGGCTTGGCTGATGAACGGGATCGATGTTGCGAATTGGTCCGGCCTGGAGAACTCGTTTAGCGTTGTGATTCGGTTCATTGACTGAACTAGATCGCTCTGGTGATCGGGATCAAAGTTGTGATCTGGATCGTCGTGATGAACCCGTCCTGTTCGGTGATGTGGATCGCCGCGGTGATCTTCTTCGATGTTATGATCTGTATCGGTTCAGTGATCTGGATTGGTCCGTTGATCTGATTTGAGGTTGTGATCTGGATCCCTTCGGTGATCTGGATCGAATAGGTGATCTAGATCGGTCCGGTCCGTTGATCTGTTCCGAAGTTGTGATCTGGATTCATTCAGTGATCTGGATCAATTAGGTGATCTGGATCGGACCACTGATCTGATTAGAAGTTGTGATCTGGATCCATCCGGTGACCTGGAACGATTAGGTGATCTGGATTGGTCCAGTGATCTACTTCGATGTTGTGATCTGGATCGGTCCGGTGATCTACTTCGATGTAATGATCTGGATCGGTCTGGTTATCTAGATCAGCTAGGTGATCAGGATTGATCAGGTGATGTGGATCGTAATTGTGCTCTGGATCGATCTGGTGATGTGGATCGGCACGGTGATCTTGATCGGGTTTGTGATGGTTATCTGGATCGTGAAGGTGATCTAGATCGTGATGGTGATCTAGAATGATGTGGTGATCTGGATCGGCAGTTAGGTGACGAAACCTGAAGTGTTGATTCTTGATGAACATCCCCCGGCGATGCTAATGTAGCCATCTCCTTCCGGTTCAATGAACTGTGAGGGGTGAGTTGACTGGTTGAACGTGGTTGGCTCGGCTCCAAACAAACTGAGACAGTCGAGGGGATATGTACCGATGATCTAGATGATGATAGTGTCGATCTAAGGTCCCCTGGTAGTGTCGAAGTGAGAGAGAGAGAGGTGCAAGTCGTGAGATAGTAAAAGTATATAAATATACAATTAATATTAAAATTTCCAAATGCAATTTTTTGTAAAAAGCCTTGGTTAATACTTCCAGTTTGAAAGCTATACACGATAGGGCGTATGTTTTACTAAACCAGGGATAATGCTATTGAACTTAAAAAATTTAAAACTTTGTTATCAAAGAAGTTAGTTTCATGGAAAGTTAAGCAAAAGTTAGAAAGTTGCTGTGCTCTTTGAAGTTAGTAAATTGTAAGTTTGTATTGCTTGTTTTTAGTGTTACTAGAAGGCTGTTGCTCTGCAGTAGTTACATGTAAGGATCAAAGAACATAGTTGATGTTGTTTATGTCAACTGACCTCCGATTTGATCAAGTCAACATTATTCATGACTTGTTTCTCATGGGAAAGTTATTGGGCATTCAAAATATGTTTAGCATATTGCTGCTTCATGCAATGTACAGTAAACACCTTTTTTATTTGTTTTGGGCATAGTACCCAGAAAGCAGTATTTGATAGCTGCTCTTATGGTGAAGTGACCTTCATACAATAATGCTTAGTTCAAAACAGTTATTTCATCAAAATTATCTTCAGTAATCTGTCCACACACACTGTGTTGCAAAATAAGGTGAACTCAAAGTGCTTGTTTTCTTGTTCTTCTTGTAAGGTATGAATTTGAAGACATTACATACAAAATTGATTCATTTTGAATACATGCTACTTAGCTACAAATGTAAATGACATTTGTTAAACATTTAAATCTATGCTGCAAACCATTTCTGAATAAGTTTAATGTATATTTCAGATGAGGAATTTGTGCATGTTGGTTCTGAAGTTGACAACTTGAACTCAAATGAGTAAGTATTACCTTGCCTGAAGAGACAAATACTATGATGTGTATTATTGTGGTTGTGTAATCTGGCATAATTATGAACTTCACTGACTGGAGATTTGAACAAAGGTTGGTGGTTCGGTTTATATATGAAACATACCATTTTGATATTGATTTTAAGGGTCAAGTTAGGACCTCGGCTTATCTACAATAATTCACCTAATTCATTACTTTTATTATTTCAAGAGATGAGTTACTCAATTGCAATTCCCACAGACAATTGATATATACAGGAATAAGTCAAACCATCCTTTATGATCCCAGAAGTCTGGTTTTGGGGTAAGTCACTGTTATAGTGTAAAGTGGTTGCCCTAATATAAGGCATAATCTACAAAAGATATTACATTATGATAAGGTAATAACACAATCCAAGTTCGATAATTGGCAAATTCAGTCAAACAATTTGTCCTGATCCAGAAATATAATCAGTTACAGTCTGTTTGAGTCAGAAACGGACCGAAATTTTATCATTGTACAAAATTGCCACATAAATATAAATAGTACACATGTTTATCATTTACTAATACCCAACAGCTTTCTTATATTTGAAAATTTTGCGGACTCCACCAAAAAAGTTGTTTAAGAAACTATCATCATTGAAACGCAAAGTTGTTATCTGTCAGTGGCAGGGTGAGAAACCGCTAGAAGCGGAACAGCCAAAATCTAAAATTAGGTTGCCGCGGGATACACATGCCTGATGAAAAATGAAATTGAATGCTGACGTGAAACAGTTGATGATTAAAGTGTATGCGATTTTTTTGCCGTGCTGAAGGCCGAAAGGGGCAAACCATTTTATGCCATTAATAAAATCTGTAAGCCGGCAGCAAATGCTTTAGGAGTATCAGCAAGGGCAATTGCTGACAAATGTTCTGGAACACAAACATTGTGAGGGTGATGCAACGCAGGTAGGGGTCGTGTCAAAATCACACAAAATAAAACATTTGGACAACTTTCAAAAGAACCTTGTAAGGCAGTCTATCAACAAGCTCAATTCTGAAAACAAATACATGGTGCTGAAAATTTTAAAAAAACATTTGAAGCAAGAACACAACCTCAGAGTATCAAAGTACACACTCTGGCGACTCTTACACTCTTTTGGGTATCGTTTATAAGAAAATTTCGGGGGAGAATAGGTCAGTAGTCTGTGAACGCCCTGATATCGTTCGCTTGAGAAATAATTTTCTCAGGGTTATAAAGAAGCGCAAGGAAGGGTTCGAGCTAGTAGTATGTACATTGATTCAAAACTTCCATTTTGCCCTCAGAATGTACAGAATCATGCAAAAAGTATTTGGACACTTGACGTAATTTCCATAGACTTACGTGTTAATTTAGTGTAGCCTTAACAATTTTCATGCATTTAATTTTCATAAGATCCAAGCCAAATGTTTTTCATTTGTGAGGAATCATCTTACCTACAATCACATAATTTCTGTTTAATTTTCCATTGCCTATTTATCCCATAGCAACAATTTGATGAACATGAACAGTGCCGTGAACTCCTTTACATTGTAAATTGGGGAATCATACGTAAGTTGATAGATGTGAAGTCATTAGTTTAATAGTGGTCGGAAAAATAAACTGGAATTATGTGGACATAACAGAGATGATTTCAAATTTGTGTGTCAAATTTTACAAAGATCCATCCTAAATTCACTTCATGAAAACTATTTATGCTACTCTGAAATAACTATGGAAACTACGTCAAGTGTCCGAATACTTTTTGCAGGGTCTGTCTGTTACTCAGCAGATACAAAATTTGACTGATAATTCTGAGGCTTGCATAAAATACACCCATAAAGATATAATTCTTATGAATTCTCTACTGCAATTACAGCATTGTCATAAATTTTGTATATAGACTGCAATCTCATGACTAGTTGTTAAGATAGTATTACTGAAAAGCAGTATCCAGCTCTTGAGCTTTAGGCTACTTGCTGATGAGGAGATTGTTATAACTGTATCCATTACATAACTGGTGTAACAGGCCAAACTATGCACCAAGGGTGGGGAAGAAGTGGCCTAGCTAGGCCAGAATCTTCCCCATTTCCACAGAAAACAGAACAAAATATACAGGGGGGGGGGGGGACTTGGAAAGTTTGGGCTAGGCCAGATTCTCCCCTGGGAAAGTTTAGACCAGGGAAAAAACGGCCTGCTACATCAGTGTGTAGTCCTCCAAGTTAACTTAGATTCAGTTGATAGCTGCTGTCAGTGTTTTTCAACCCAATAAGTCGCTTTTCATAAGACACAAGTAAGATATATGAGTGACTGTACTCAGAAGCTGGTTTAATTGCAGGTCCTGAGATGATGTCCTGATTTCTCCTCCAACTTGTAAACCTTGTTGATTAGTTATGAAAAAAAGACGAAACAAAAAACCTTCACTCTGCCTGTTGGAGGTGCAGAGCTGGTGACACCGTCCTCCTTGTCAGATTATGTTAAAGATACAGCTATGAGGCTGGAGTTGTCCCATCCCCAACATACCAGCCAAGAGTGGGAACTTCATTCATTTCTACTCCTACTCCTCTTTCTACTCCTACTCATATCAACAGATACATGGAGATTTTGGAATAACATTTCTCAAGCAGATGACTTCTGTGGAATCACCTTTTGACTATCAGACCTAGCCTTTATGAAAGGAAATCCATGCAATCTCTCCGAGCCACTGACATCTGCAAGTGATCTTATTCTTTTGTCTTCTTGTTCCCACGGAGAACTCCACAGCTATACCAACACCCAATTTTTAGATAAAACAAATACCAAGGTTTATAATGTTCAAGCCTGATAGATGAGCTCATTAGCTTAGACCTGCAGGATTCATACCGTCAAATACCATACACCCTTCATACCCAAAATATCTTTGCTTCACAGTAAACAGGAAGAAATGCAAGTTCAAAGTACCCTGGTAGTTATTTTCATGATATAGAAAACAGGTATTCAGAGAAACCGTGCAGGTTATGAAGAACACCCCTTCTACAATTAATAAAATATTATGAAGCTCAGGCCTGGTTGGTCCATTTGGCATGATCTTCAGCCCAATCCAAATGGGCCTGCTTAGAAGCCATTTTGATGTGAATGCATGTCCTCAGCAACTTGAGACCAATCTCACACAGGTTATGCACCAAGTAGAAATGTTAATGCCACTGGTAATTTGATGTGGTGTGTGGTGGCAGTCACAAATTAATGACTTCTTGTCATCTGTGTGGTGGATAACTGTTGACTATCTACATGTGGCTGGGCCATCGATCCAAATGTCTGACATTATGCCGTGTACTGCTGATCACACAAACAATACAGATGTTTGCAATATGACATTGAGGAAGAACTTTTTTTATGGATAGAGAACTACTTTGTTGCAGTAGTTGCGATGTTTCGTTGTAGAGTCTAACACTGTTATCAAGAAAATGATACACAGCATTTGCACAAGGAGAAATATATATATGACAGGTATTTGGGTTTATACAATAGAAGAGGTTGATTTACAGTGTGTTGGCATGAGGCTTGTTGTGATAAGAAATAATGATTGAAGCCAGTAGACAAAGGAGGGACATTACGAAGGTTGACTTAAGGAAGTAATATGACATTGTGTAACATATGTTATATTTGGGATTACTTTTCTAAGTAAAGTACAGATTTTAGTACTTTTTGGGTTGAGCCCCCATCCGGGATTCGAACCCACACCCTCAGAGTCAGGCACCTAATCGCCAGCACACAAAGTCAGACACCTAGACCGCTCAGCCAACGCGGCTTCCACAAAAATGGAAGTCGGACAACTGGTAGTCTAGACTGCAGGTCACTTTGTGTACCCCTCTGATAAGTGTTAATTGGTACGGCTCCCACGGCCGAAACTATGAAATACAACAATGCCATATTAGAATTATCATACATGCCATATAACATATGTTACATTTGATCACAATATCGCATTGTATTTAATATGACATTGTGTTGTCCTAGTTTTCAAGTGTACCTATGCATTAGCCTAATTTGTCAGTTGTCTTATAAGCTGAAGGGATATAAGTACATTGGGTATTTGCAATCCTGACAGTGCAACAATAACATCATGATACATCCCACAGGTTTTTAAAGATTATGAAAGTAATTAGCACACAACTGCCCTCTTCTGAATCTGATCCGGGGTAGAATAGGTCTTCAGCAACCCATGTGCTTGCCATAAAAAGGCGACTATCTTGTCGTAAGAGGCGACTAACGGGATCGGGTGGTCAGTTTCGCTGACTTGGTTGACACATGTCATCGGTTCCCAATTGCGCAGATCGATGCTCATGCAGTTGATCACTGGATTGTCTGGTCCAGACTCGATTATTTACAGACCGCCGCCATATAGCTGGAATATTGCTGAGTGCGACGTAAAACTAAACTCACTCACTCACTCACTCTTCTGAATCTCTACAGTTGCAAAATGTTGAGGTCTGCTAAATCTGACTAAAAATAAAGTCGTTCATAATTTGGTCAGTCTTATGGGTGTACATTTGTGTTAAATTATACAGGAGTAAATAGAACATTAAGAGAACAGTTCTTAGAAGTAAGAGATATTTGCATGGCTGTCTATTCTTAAGTTCAACCCAATAGGCACCATATAAACTAACAATTTTTTTGACAGTTTATGCTTTTAAATCTTTCGGCATATGGATTTACTTTCCAGTTGATTACTTGATGAAAGGCCATCTAGGTCAGCCTATCCCCTTTCCCCTCCCCTTTTCTTTTGCTGATATTATATATTTACTCTTTTTCAGACAAGAAGACGAAGCTGGTGCTTTTTTATTTATTCCAGTTGAGACTGATCAGTATCTTTTGGAGACACTAATGAAGGAAAAACTAACAGTGAAAGGACTCCTGAAGCCCAACCAGCTCTATCATCCTGATCATCAAGTCATAGTTTTCGAGTCTCCAAGTGGTAAGTGTTCCTGACATAGTGTCATGATGCAAGAATGGGTCATCTCTAATACATGGGTAATATACGTAATGAAATAACATAATTATATGAACAGTTTCTGTGTTTCCAATGAGTTGAGATTGCTAATACAATGTGACATTTAAGATTGACATCCAATCAAGGGAAAACAAAGCGCCTTTTGAGCAGCTGAACTTGATATTGGGGCTAAGATATATGCCAGATATTGGCATAATAATAATGTCTTTGTCATCAGTGTGTATTTTAAAATATCAGCTAGAAAAAGGACATATATTCACAGGCTCTTCTTACAGTAAGGTTGACTGGATCATGGACATCAAACAAAGAAAATGTCTTACCTTTATGTCTGTTTAGACCAATGATCCCTGATTCTCTCACTTCATGCTTCAATATTGTAATGTCAATTTTTAAACTTATCCTATTTCACGGTATGCACCTCTCTTCTTCTTCAACGACCATGTGTGGAAACGTGCTGTAGGCTAAGTTGATTCAAAGCTTTCTGGCCTCTAGTCACCTGACCTCTGCCCCCACTCCATAACAGGACCTGTCAATCATCTCAATAGGCGCGCAGATGGCTCAGATGATCACCTGACAGCCTGCCCATGTCATTCTCTTTCTTGTTGCTACACCAAGTGGACATGTGTTGTTCTCTCAGTTAAACATTACTTGATTGTCATTATGGGCAAATCGGATCGAAGTTCTTCTAAGAAACGCAAACATTGTGATAAATGTAACAGCAATTTTTCCACTGCTGATCCACACGCTTTTGGTGTGGATTGCATAGGGTATTGTGGCTGGTCGCATTAGTGTTGTTATTGTTCTCACCTGGATGATGATGAGTTTTCGGAGTATCGACGTGTTGCATCCAGACGTATGGCGGAAAGAGATTGTCGTAGAACTACTGAGGGGCCTTCATCTTCTAAACGTGCGAGTAGAGTAGTTCATCGATCGAAATCCCCATCCCCGGATGAGGAGTTTTTAGATGTGGCTTCAGATTCATATTTGAGTGAAAATCTACGTCATCTTTTCCATCCTCAAACGTCCAGTCCAAGATTTTTCTCTTCCGAGAGTGGTAGTGTTAACTACCTCTTCAGTGCAGTCGAGACCTTCTACTTTGGTGACGATTTCACAGACCCCTAGTTTGCCACCCTGGTTATTTCCATTGCGCCGCTTGGGTCGGGTGTTACACTTCCCTCTGCTACAGTGAGTGCGCTTCGTCAGAGCGTTCACTCTCATTCGGCGAATGCAGTCAGTTCGGCGCTTTCTGCCACAGGGATCGGTTCAGCACTTGCATCCTATGCGCCACTTTTGTCAAATTCGGCGCTTTCTCCCAATGCGGCGCTCTCATACTCCCCAGTAGTGGCTCCAGGCATGCCAATAGTATCCAGTGCGGTGCTTTCAACACCTTTTCTGTACATTGCTCCACCTGCTTATGGAGTGTCGCTTACTTCCAGTGTGCCGCTTGATACCAGAGCAGCGCTTGCCTTCCATTCACCACTTACTCCCAATGCGCCACTTACTTCCAATGCACCGCTTTCACAGAGTTGACGTTACCACCTATGCCTGGTTATCCTGTCACATCGTCAGTATCCCTTAACCTCCCTCCAAGTCCGGCGCTTCAATCTACTTTGACTCATACAGCGACAGATGTGGGTTCGGCGCTTCCTTCCGGAGCGCTGCTTCCGATGACTGCGGGATTCTCCATTAGTGAACCACCTTCTGTTGGATCCGGTCTACCGCCCAGTGCACCACTTTATACCAATGTGCTGCTAATAACTACAACCAAAGGGATATTCAGCCCTTCATGGTGAACAGTTACGTCTTCCTCCTTTGTCAGACACGAGGTCTACTATGCCTCCTGTGATTTCAACTACCCCAGTGACTACGTCTAATGATTCCTTCCAGGCCTAATTTACTGGTGTCTTGGAATCCGGCATCCGATGTTCCTGCATCTCAGTCATTTGATTTTGATTCCATTGTTCGGGTAGTGGCCTTGGCGCTGGGTCAGCAACCTCCAGTCACGTCTACGATCGCTCAGTCAGCTGGCCCTGCCGACTGTGCCCTTTCAATCTTTGGATGAAGCCCTCCCGTAAGCCACGCCTTCTCCCACTTCGGATGGTAATTCAGTGTCTGATGTCAGTGTTGATGGTGTCGACACATCTCAGTTGCTGGTGTTGATTGTTAAAAACCCACATTTGCCACGAAGTACTTCGCCATCGGATCTTCTGACTTGCTTTGATATGAAACCGGATGACATTTCCTCCTCGTCCCTGTATTACTCAGCTTGCGGCTTCCCTAGATGAAGCGTTTGACAACCTTCGGAAAGTCAAGGATGTTTTTTCGGAGCCTTGTTTTAACTTGGCGTCTTTGCATGTCCATGGGTCCTCAACATTGATTGCATCCCCTCCTGTGGATGATGACATTACATTATTGGGGATGAAACAGAGAGCATATTCTCCTTTCTTCGTGGAAGACCGGGAACTGTCACATTTGGATGATCTTGCGAATGGCATCCCTCAACATGGTGTTAACAGCGAGAGAAGCAGTGGCCATGTCTGTATCCCATGCAGTCTCTCCTCAACAAGCTTATGTCCGGGCCTCGATGGTTTTATTGCAAGGACAATTCCAAACTATTTTGGTTCAGCTGGCTCACTTCTTTGCTTACCTCACAGCAGTCCGACGTAGGGGTCTTCTTCACTTGTCCACCTAGGAGGATAGATTTTAGATTTCTGGTTGTTATATTTTTTGTGTGTTTCCATGGCAGTAAGTTTGACTTTGACTGAGATTAGTGCTGGTGCTCTTTTCCGAAGCAGAACTTTAAGACTGTTCAATATTTCTTTACCAAACTTCTCACATAGATAGTTCTGGTGGTGAACTGGTGCCTTTTGGTAGTTTTGGATTTGTAAATAAATTTTTGGGGGCGTTTCCATGGCAACAAGTTTGACTTTGACTGAAATTCGTGTTGGTGCACTTTTCTGGAGAAGAATTTAAAAACCATTCAATATTTCTTTACCAAACTTCTCACATAGATAGGTCTGGTGGTGAACTGTTGCCTTTTGGTAGTTTTGGATTTCTCAGATTATAATATTTCTTGGCGTTTCCATGGCAGCAAGTTTGACTTTGATTTGAACACTAACCGTGAATGCTAAATATGAATATTCTGTCTCAGAATGCTCTGTCTCGTTACTCACACTTTTTGCAGTATCCCTGTTCTGGGAAACTTTAGTATCATGTGTTGAACTTTTGCATATGTCACACCATCTGCCTTGTTTCATGTTTCAACTTGAATAATACTTCTTCGCTCGCTGTGTCTGTTGCTGATTCGTATTTCTGCACTCTGATGATCTATGTCCTGGCTTTCCACATGAATAACACTTGAAGGTCATTATACTGTCTTCACCCTTACGTGTATATGTCAGTCTCTTCATAACTCTGCAGAGCCGTTTTAATCTCAGAAAAAGTCATGGGCTTATCTTTTTGTGTTATCATTGTAGCAAAGGTTTTATAAGAAGAAGGTAATCCTTTAAGTACCATTGCTATCAAGAGGCTATCTCTAATTGTCTCACCTGCCACTTTTAAAGAATTCGCGGCTGTGTCCCCCTTGATTACATAGTCAGTTGTGCACTCTGTTCCCACCATCAACGAGGTAAGTTCTGTGTACAGTGAAATCACACGTGGTTTTCTGCTTCCCAATAGTGTTCTCTTAGAATGTTCAATGCTTTTCTCCCATTGTCCTTCGCGTCCCTCATTACAAGGCCTAGGCTTCTGTCAGCTAAGCACTGTACGAATTCGGCAAAAGCATCAGCATTCTTGCTGGCAGAGGGGCTTTCTGATGACTCTTGGGCCGGTAACATTACGTCGTACAATTTCTGTAACTGCATGTGTCCGAGGACTTTTACCTCCCATTATTCGTATTTCGCTTCATCTCAACGAACATCAAACGTTGTCTGGGCCCACAACCTGTTGACATCTTGCTTGTCATTCATGAATGACAGAGGCATCCAAGTTGGGGTAAAAATTTAATAAAGCCTTTCACATCAGTTGACGGTTACATTTGAACTGAGCATGGGAAACACATGTACAGGCACTTCCATTAAAGATAAAAGGGAGTTAATTGTTTTTGTCTTTTACATGCCACTAAAAACAATAAATGAGAAAGTTTCTTATGCGTACATACAATATCCACAAAGCAATATAACTGCAGTTTACTCTAACATAGTCCAACATGATTACTCTAGTGTTATGTCTTTAACACTTTGGCACTTTGCGAATAACATAACTGTAACCGGCAAAGATTATATGTATATGTATCATGTATTCATCAATATACATGGAAGCCATATATATCTTCAGCTGACAAAGAAAAGTGTTCGATGTCACCTGTCTTTGTGACAACCTAATATTGTGGTAGGTTTGGGATACTATAACTCGTTTCTCAACTAGCCAGATAAATATGTTTCATTTGTTTCACATGAGGCATAAAGACTCTTTGGTCAGCTGAGACTGCACATGTGGCAACAATTTTCATGATGTTCCTAAAAAAATCCATTTAATTTGAAAACAATATAATCAGTAATCATTGTATTGATGGCTAACCCTTTGAACAAATTCTATAGTTTTGACATAAGCACTTTACACAAAGATATTGATGTGTTCCGTCTAGATCTTTTCAAGTAAATCTACATCCACATATGCTTACTTTTGACAGATCCAAGATAACATTGATTTATCAATCAACTTCTTACTAGTTATTCCTTTTGTTGATGGTTATTTTTTTGTAATTCTCTTGTGGTGGTGTAACACCACATCAGACCTGAACTTATCAGGCAATCATGGATTGAGTAATTTTAGTATTTACATGTCTTTTGTGCACACAGTTTGCTAAAGAACACCCACAACACTGTTGAGGGGAAATTCCTTTGTCTGGGTGGTGTTACCTCTAATTTAATGTAGTAAATTCATTAACTGACCTTCAAGTCATTAACGACTAATAAACAGGTGTAGTGTTATAACTAGAAACATGGATGAATTGTTGTATTGTTTGCAGTTTAGTAGCCTAAAAAATAATGGCTGTTGATGTATGAATAGGACCTTTGTTGTTGTAATAGGTGCCTTTATTTGCTGTAGGCTAAAGTTAATAATTGAACAAATACATTTAGGGGATAACTGTGTTTGACGAACAGGGGATGTATACCATTGGTTATATAGCCGCAAATTTAGTTATATCGGAGATGCGTTAGCGTCACATCTCCATAATGACGTCATAAATCTTGTTTCATGACACAGTGTTGGGTCAACAGCCCATTGCGAGAAAGTTGTTTGAACTTAAAATTATATTTATTATACTGTTTTGTCTTTTTTTAACACAAATTCCACCCATTTTCGCTGGATAGGGGAGTTACATTTGACCTATGGCTTCTGCAGTGACAGTGCCCTGAAAATCAGAGTTACCCCAATAGTGTAGCAATACATTGAAAGGATTTGGTGAATCGGTTTTCAAATTGTGACCATACATGCTGATTATACGGTCTGAAGTTTATAGCATTGACCAATCAGAACTTGTGTTACATACTAAGCTGAATTAGAATTACTTTTATGGTGTTTTTCTATTTTGCCTTGACCCCAAATTCAAATTTTAAAACTTACATTATTTACTTTCTCTTGCTCTTGTGACCGTCAAATGGAAATGACCTGGGGAAAAAAGATACCAACCTCTTGTAACACCACACCCGAACAAACCCCTGCTCTTCCAATGGCAATTATGTATTTCTACAAATGATGTATTTCCATACATAAAACCTATCCTGCCCTGTTCAAAGTAGACAAAAACCTTCAAAGATTTAACCTACCGATACCTACCAATGCTGAGTCTGCCAAAAAATTATCTTCCCACCCCACACTTAAACATAGAGGCAAACCTACTGTGAAAATAACCACTGAGTCACCATTAGTGAGTATTGTTTGTTTAAATGAGGAGCAATGAGCCCAGGATGCGACAGCAGTTCATTTGTGTCATGGTTTGCTCACTTGAAGTCAGGTGTTCACCTTAAGATGGGAAGAGTTTCTTTGCAAAGGCAATAGTTACATATCAAACAATAGTGACTTTCCTTATTCCAGGCAGCAAATCCATGTAGAAGAAGACACGCTGAGGCATCTAACATCAACAAAAATCACTTCACCAGGCTTTGTGTGCATCTTGTGTCCAACATTGTATGCAAGGGGCAGCCAGCAACAAATCAATCAACATCCTATGTATCTCCTAATGGTGTACAAAAGATGTTGATCAACTAATGTGTACCATACTACCACATGGTGCTAAACAAAAGCTCAGCAAAGATTTTCAATGTTGTCACTTGGAGACACATGAACCAATCATATTCTCCCTACTAGTGCACTCAAAGTATTAGGCAGTTAAATATTATTGTCTGTGCCACTTGATGGCATCTAGTGAAAATATGAATGTTTATCCCCACGGCATGTAATGCGTTGGGATATAGTCGTCGCCTCGTCCGTCCGTAATCATTTTGTTTCCAGAGCATAACTCAAGGACCGTTCGATATTTTTCCCCAAAAAATGGTAGATATGTCAAACATAACCTAAGGTGGTGCCTTTTGCCATTTTCAGATTATTGTCATTTTTATTTTTCCCGGTTTCCATGGAAACCATTCGGACTTAGTCCCCAAAGTGAGGGGTGGGCTTCGTTTCAGGAGCGTAACTCAATAACCGTTCTATATTTTGTAACAAAACTTGGTAGATATATCAAACAGAACCTTAAGTGGTGCCTTTTGCTATTTGCAGATTTTTGGCATTTTTATTTTTCCCGATTTCCATGGAAACGATTCGGACTTAGTCTCTAAAGGGAGGGGTGGGTTTCGTTTCCGGAGCACAACTCAAGAACCGTTAAATATATTTCAACAAAACTTGGTAGATATATTGAACAGAACCTTAAATGGTGCCTTTTGCTATTTGCAGATTTTTGGCATTTTTATTTTGCCCTGTTCTTAGTTCCAAAAGGGGGGGGTGGGCTTCGTTTCCGGAGCACAACTCGAAAACTTCTTAATATCTTTCAGCAAAACTTGGCAGATATGTGAGGCAGATCCCAAAGTGGTGCCTTTTGCTATTTGCAGATTTTTGTCATTTTTATTTTTCTTGGTTTCCATGGAAACGATTTAGACTTAGTGAGTGAGTGAGTGAGTTTAGTTTTACGCCGCACTCAGCAATATTCCAGCTATATGGCGGCAGTCTGTAATTAATCGAGTCTGGACCAGACAATCCAGTGATCAATAGCATGAGCATCGATCTGCGCAATTGGGAACCGATGACATGTGTCAACCAAGTCAGCGAAACTGACCACCCGATCCCGTTAGTTGCCTCTTACGACAAGATAGTCGCTTTTTATGGCAAGCACATGGGTTGCTGAAGACCTATTCTACCCCGGATCTTCACGGGTCATTTAGACTTAGTCTCAAAAGGGAGGGGTGGGTTTCGTTTCAAAAACTTCTTAATATCTTTCAGTAAAACTTGGCAGCTATGTGAGGCAGATCTTGAAGTGGTGCCTTTTGCTATTTGCAGATTTTTGTCATTTATGTTTTTCATCATTTCCATGGAAACGATTTGCACTTAGTGTAAAATCAAGCTGGACTTTAAGTAACTGTTAGATGATTTGTTCTTTCAAAGATGTGGGGGCCGGGAGGATATGTAATCTTCTGATGACTCTTCTTTTATAGGGTATTGAATCCCAAAATACAATACTTATGCCAATGGTGTGATGGAGGTAGGATATTCACAGGAATTTTACCCCATTCACTACACTGCCCATTCAGTTAACAAACGCATACCATCTTCATCATGGCAAATGATGGCACATTTTATCATTATAACATTTAACTCACTATTAATGTACCTACTGTACAGCATGTTATGCCTTGTAACTATTTTATATTCTTTGTTCCAGATGCAGCTCAGGCAAAAGAATCATTGGCCAAATTTAAGTCGAATTTGTTGCCATGGAAACGCCAAAACTATTTTATTCAGAATTCCAAAATTACCAGAAGGCACCAGTACACCACCAGATCTATGTATGTGTCAAGTTTGGTGAAGAAATATTGAACGGTTTTAGAGTTCTGCTCCGGAAAAGAGCACTACCACTAATTTCAGTCGAAGTCGAATTTGTTGCCATGGAAACGCCAAAACTATTTTATTCAGAGTTCCAAAATTACCAAAAGGCACCAGTACACCACCAGATCTATGTATGTGCCAAGTTTGGTGAAGAAATATTGAACGGTTTTAGAGTTCTGCTCCGGAAAAGACAAATGTGCACGGACGGACGGACGCCCGCACGCACTGACGGAGTCCATTTTAATACCCCCTGCAAAACCCGTTGCGGGGGATAATAAAATATTTATGTGTGTTCTTGCATGTGTACCTTCAAGGCTCTGTACTCGTCACGATATGGCTGAAATATTGCCGATGTGACGTTAAATATTAACTCACTCACCACTCAAGGCTCTGTATCTTGTTTAAAGTTCATTTAAATCTGTTAAATTAAGATCAAATTACAGTGGATATTAAGGTAAAATTAATTGATGACATATTTTATCATTTCGATAAAGTAAACTTGTTTGTTCACTGAGGAAGCTAAGCGCTTTGCTTTTAGCCAAAATAAAGCAGCTGAAAAAACAGTCTTACAAATCTGTACCATATCAGGTGCGCATGTGTAACATTCTTGATTAGAGAAGAAAATTAACCTAGAAACATGTACACTGTTTAAATTATGATTCACTTACAATCATTGTCTGCTATATTTGTTCTATTCCACATTCATATCAGTGAGGGGCGGTGGGGTAGCCTAGTGGTTAAAGCGTTGGCTCGTCACGCCGAAGACCCGGGTTCGATTCCCCACATGGGCACAATGTGTTAAGCCCATTTCTGGTGTCCCCCGCCGTGATATTGCTGGAATATTGCTAAAAGCGGCGTAACTAAACTCAGTCAGTCAGTCAGTCAGTCAGTCAGTCATATCAGTGAATGCTTATTATCATATAAATACAGCCTACAAGGAAACTGCCACTGCCTGTACTCAATTAGATATGCCTAATCTGACTCAGTTACAAGTGATAATTATGGTACTTTGAAGATAATAAAATTTCTTCAAGCTGAAGAAAAAGAAGAATATTGCTGTTATTTCCTCTTATATTCAGTACTTTAGGCACTAAAGTACCTTTCAGTTCTTGGAGAGTATTTTAAATAATGATGGTTAGGGTAAAGCAAGGTTTGACACACTAATCAAATTTACTTCACATAATTTCTCAAATGTTGTAACACTGGTCAATAGTTCCCTTGCTTGAAGTTTGATGTGACTGAGTAAACAATGGCATGATGGGAGAGTTTCTTTTAAAGGATTTCGTCACAGTTCATAACTGTCATAACCCCATGTAGGAGTTTTGGGAGACAACCTTTAAAATACAACCCTTGGGAACTGTACAAAACTTAACAATTGATGCAACTACCCCAGTTGTCTCCCCAAATCCCGACATCCCATAGCCCCTACAGCCGAATACCTTTACAATTAGTTAAAACAACACGTGGCATTTACCTGTCTGGCATAATGAAATAACTGACCCAAAGGAGAAATTACAGGAGTATACACTGTGAGATTAAGCTCACAGTGTACAGATGAGAAGGGAACAAGAGTGTGCTGTTTTTATTAGGGTTTAATAATTCATTTTAAATAATTGAGATGAATTAAATATTGAACTAGTATTTTTAGCTTCCTGATGTACATAGTGAGTAGACATATTTTGCAAATCGAAATAATATCAGTTGTAAAAGTGTTGGAGATAGTAAGCTGGGATAAATAATTTGAGCATATACAAGGGGCATTCAAAAAGTAGTCAGCCTAACTATATTCACGACGTCCAATGTTTGTAAAGCTTTCATTTTATTTTGAAGAAATTATTTAGCAAAGCCATATCCAAAATTTCACATATCATAACACACTGGGGTATATTATTTCTTTAAAAAATTGCAAAAAATGAAAAACGGTCATTTGGTACCTCTTGGATAATGGTATGCCTTGAGATAATATCATGTAACGTGTTCAGTATAGTATTGGATGACTACTCGTCATAATCAACATTCAAAGATTTGGATTGTTATCCCCCGCCGCGCATTTAGTGCGAAGAGGGGGATATAGTATTAGGCTCCGTCCGTCCATCCATACGAATTGGAATATCTTAAGAACCATTGACTGGATTCTTTTCATATTTGGTACCTAGGTTTATCACACTATAAGAAAGGTTTTTGTGACACTATAAGTCATGTTTGGTGACCTTGACCTTCATTTAAAGGTCACAGGGGAACTTTAACGTTTTACTCTCGTCAGCGAGATATCTCAAGAACCGTTCACTGGATTTTACACTTAATGTTCAAGGTTACGACAACACTTTAAAGATTTCAGCATGTTAACCTGCATGTACAGATTGTCAGCAAGATATCTCAAGAACCATTCACTGGACTTTCTTCATGTATGACACCAAGCTTCATCTAGGGAAGTTGCAAGTTCCAGTCAATTTTGGTGACCTTCACTTAATTTTCAAGGTCACGGTGACACTTTGAAGATTTCAGCATGTTAAACTGCATGTTAAAATCGTCAGCGAGATATCTCAAGAACAGTTCACTGGATTTTCTTCATAGACTTTCAAGACTTCCCCCTTGAATGTTTTTCAATAAGCAATTTCTTTATTACTATTTTTACATATTTCATACACTAAGACATTCATGTCAGGTCAAAGTGAGTCTTGAACATATTTGTGTGTTTAAACAACTACAGAGCAAGATATCAAGAAAGGTTGACTGGTCATGTTTTCGTTGACATTTAACTTTATCTTACATTAAGACCTTCACTTTCATTACTTTTTAAGTTTGATTTGATAATTTGCAGCAGAGGATTATGTCACCTTAGTGACAATGCTTGTTTTATTTACATTTAGACTGGGGCTGTTTTCAAGGATACCCCCATTTTGATCCAGATATTCAAGCTTGATTCAAGCAGACTTCTGCCTATCTCAAACACACAAAATATTTCTTGCATATTTTGTTTCTTGAAGTTTGTGATGCATTTATTGCAGATTTTTGCGTTATTGGGGGGTACCAGGGTAAAAAGTCACACAAAATGGGTATCATGAGGCTCAATTTACTTGAGGTTGACAGATAATATGTAGAAAAATAAACCATAGAAACATTTATCATGTTATGACATATATGATATTTAATGAAACCTCAAAGTTCAATAATATTGAACTTTTGTTACAATATATTTGTTATCATCCATTAAAACCATTCTCTCAAACTCTTAGTTTGGTTATTGCTTATTAAAATCATTCTCTCAATTGCTAAGTGTTTGGGCTGGTCCATTGTATGAAATAGGTAACAGGCAGGAAATAAGCAGTGTACTGGACCATGAATTTTGTTGTTATAAGCGTAGGGGTTATGGGTTGTAGGGGTTTGGGGAGGTTACCATTTCAGACATGAGCCATCAATCTAGGTTAATTAACTTGGTGAAAATGATAAGTCACATATGACAAATTAATGACAAATTATGTCTTTGACTTTTAGCTGCTATTTTTTATGTAATTAATAACTTTGAAGGATGAAATTCTATGACAAACTTTATGTAAGTATTGCAATATTTATGACGTATAGATTCAGTTTTCATATTTATAGTATGTAATCATCATACTAAGGGGTTGAGCCTGCCTTTCTGCTCGTGCATAATATATATGACATTCCTTAATTTCTACATTGTATATCAATAAATGATTAGGATATTAGCATCAGTTCCAAAGTACCTTTCATAGTTGCTTTTTGCATTACAAATCTCACACGTATGTATGCACGCATGCACTAACACACATATGTACATAAACAACAAGTCTCCATAAGAGATTTTCAATGGCCTGTGTTGAATCCTCTACCGTTAATATATCACTGCCATGAATCCTGGATTGCAAGACTTTTAAAATTTTCCCTGACTGCTAATGTTCATTTCAAGGCATCAATAACAGTACTTTATTTGTAAATCTGCTGTAAATATTATGTTAAATTTTATGTTAACAACTCTGAATGAGAATTTAATTGAAATTGAAAAAATACTTAAAGGTCACATGCAACCAAAAAATCAAACATAATTCAAACACAATTATCACTTCTTCATGACATAATATGCATTGCTGATTATGAAAAAAACAAATAAACAAAATTATAAGCGTATAATCGCAAATCAAAAGTGCAATATATTTTGTACTTGGCTTTACCTCTCTTGAAACGAAGCAGCCGGGATACCGAACCCAGTCAGAGTGGGTGGGTGTGCACTCAAGTGTAACGGCTGGTTTATTTGCAGATGCCGCCCTCACAGCTCATTGTGTGTATATATATAGAGATGTTGGGTTTTGTAAATACATGCTCATTTTTTGTGTATAACATTTTGCAATCAACAGACATCATAACATGTCATGTGTCACACCTGCCTATCTGTGTAATTACATAATGTGACAGAGACCAAACTCGGGCCATAAATCAATGCGTTTTGTTTATGGTGTATAGCCTGATTGGTGTTAAGTTCAAATTGCATGTGGTCAGTGATCGCAGTTGTGTGTTGAATATTGTCATTAGCAGACAGGCAGGCAGACACACAGGTGTCAATAAAACAAGACATTGAGTTTTGTCTGTGACAACGACATATCTATATCACAGTTAGAAATTCTGTCAACGCTAAATAATGACATTGCTTTTAAGTATCAAACTGAGAAAGTGACTCGGTAAGAAGAACGTGCAGTGTGGTGAAATAGACAAATGAAATTATATAAACAGTTTATTTACTGTCATAACATATAAAAAGCTCGCACCTGTGAGATATCAACAAAACATGAAAACAGCTCACACCAAAGCCTTCACCGAGTATTCACCAGACAGCCCGCTTCCAAGTTGCGCGAACCTATTTTCGGGGGAAAATTAGTGAATCGTTTGAACTCTGATTTCGCGGGGTTTTTTTCATTGCGTTATTTTTCAACTTTATAACTTGAATTTGCATTTTTGATGATATGTTTCGGTGCGTCCATACCGAAAGGTATCAGAATCTGCAAAGTTGTGTTTTACGTTGCATGTGACCTTTAACAAACAAAGTCCATAAAAGGTAAAAATTTGTGGATGTCAGCTTCTTTATTCCTAATAAAGACGTTGACATCTATAAATTCACATCTTTTATGAGGATTGCTTCTAAATGCCATTCAAATGCTTGAAACATATGCTATATATTAAACACTGATGTTACAACATGATGCTCTCGTAACTATTTGTACTGATCAGTTGATATGCTATTTCCAACGACATTAAGATATGTGTTTGTAGGAATGTAATGAAATTTGTGGGAGCCATTGATTACATAGTTCATGCAAATCCACAGTACAGAGAGAAGTGATTAAATGTTTGTCAGTAGGTTGGTACATTAATATTTGTTAATGAAGTGAACTTATTATTTGAAGATAAAGATTATAAAAGGTAACAAAAAATCATACACAATCATTACTTTTAAATTCGCAATGTATATCTCGAAAAAGTTGCCTCTAAAGTTTGTAAACATAGGTCCATAGGCCCATGATTAAAGGTGTCTGCAAATTCCTGAATGTCTTTAATCTCCCAGGGTTGCAAATGGTATGTGATATCCCTCATTGAAGACTATACTTTTGAATTTGGTAATGAGGTAGAAGAATTTGACAAGAATATTAAAATGTCATTAAGATATTTGTTTCGAACAATGTCACTGTTTTACAGTTGACCTGCTTATTGCCAAATGAAATTTTGCCAATCAAGGCAAGCATTCTTCAAGAAGGTGTTTCTTTCTTATGGTGGACCCGTGATCCCCAGAAACCTTGACTAAACATTTATGATGCTTTTAGATATTTTTTTTTATACTGTCTTATTTATGAGCCTAAAATTTCTTATGCCCTGGAATCAAGTTGGATTGATCACTCTTGAACAAGTTTGTAAGAGCTGGGAGGGATTGGTCATCATTTGTTGGCTCTTGTTCTGTTAAAATTGTCGTCATTTTTTTACAGATGATACTTTGTGAATATGAAGTCTATAATTTACTAAGCCTTTTCTGTTTTATTTCTTTGCAGTTATCAAGGAACGCTACCCTTGCATTATGCCAAGAGGAAAATGAAAAGATTGATATGAAAGATTTCGAGTTTGCAACTGGAATAACACTGACAGAAGATCCTACCCGTGTTCATGGCAACTTTGTTCAAATTATTGCAGCACACAAGTTTCTTGATGAGATGTTTCCATCAGCAACATCTCAAGTTGTGGTTTCAAAGCAAACCCCCACTCATAAAAACACAAAAGATTTGGACAAAATGGAAGAGATGAGTGGCATTCAGTTCAGGGCAGCCATGCATTTGATTGGAGCATCTGAAGTAGAAAAAGCAGTTTCAGAGAAACATGGTAGTGCAGAACAAATTTCTGTGTTATTTCATGACAACACTGGCGCAAATCAGTTAAAACAGCGAATACTTGGTTTTAATACTGAAACTGTTGAAATACATGGGAAAATTGATACAAACAAGGACATGGTGGTTAATAATCCACTTGAACACTCATCTACACCCGAGCAAAGGATAGATCAACCAGATAATCAGGTATTCAAAGTCGGTTCTGTCAGCGCCCTTGTTTACTCAGCAGACATAACAACACTGAAGGTTGATGCAATTGTCAATGCTGCAAACGGCAATCTGAGTCATGGAAGTGGAGTTGCCAGAGCTATACGTGATGCTGCTGGGGATGCTTTAGATGATGAAGGAAGACGGTATGTTCACAACAATGGCCCCATCCCTGTATCTGGTGTGGTAAGAACAACAGCAGGCAGAATGCCATGTAGGATGGTACTTCATGCAGTGGGACCAGCCTGGTATGACTATAAGGATTATGACAAGAGGAGGTGTGAAGATGACCTGTGCAAGACCATCCTGCGATGCCTTATTGAAGCTACTAATGCAGGAGCTGCCATAGTGGCAATACCAGCAATAAGTTCAGGTCAGTCCAACTGGTGTTGATGAGGATGGTGGAAATATTAATATGTCACAAGAACATTTTTATATATGTTGAAGAATATGTATGTTGGGGATCGTTGGATATTACCTAGTTGTCAAAGCATTGGTACTATGTGTGTAATACTGGTGTGTCCAGACTAAGATATCGATATTGCTGGAATATTGCTGCAATCACAATGAAACCATACTCAGTAACTAATATCTCGATCCATATCTTGTCCACAGACTTTTTGAGCAACTGATGAATTAAGGACTTACTAATTTATACACAAAGAACTCTTGCTTTAAGCACACCATACCATAATGTAAACATATTCTGTTTTATACTGTTGAAAGAAAAAGTTATATTACCGTATATAATGATGTGTATACAGTGTTCCTGTTAGATGATTTGACCACCAGGTCTCATTACTACATATATGTTTTTCTTTTTCTTGTAGGTATATTTCGTGTACCAAAGCAAAAGTGTTGTGATGCCTATGTAAGAGCAACAAAACTATTTGGTATGTGGACGGGCAGCAAGAAATGTTTGATAGAAGTTCACTATGTTGATAAGAGTGAAAGCATGCTTCAAATGATAGCCACAACATTCTCACAATCCAAGCATTCAATGATCACACCAAAACCTGATGAGGAAAGATTTATGAAAGAATACATGCAACAAGGAGTTCGTCAGCGTAGTAGAAGCAGAGGCAGACAAACTTCATCTAGCCCACAAGGAGGTCAAACGACTCATGAATCACATGCTGTTTCTGCTGTCGAAGCATCCTACACATACAGTGTTGATGGAAAAGGAGTGGTGAAGTTGTACACAGGAGATATAGTGAAAACCAGTGCTGATGCTCTTGTCACCTGGGAAAACACTGCCATCCAGCCAATTACCGGTGCCTCCAAAGCTGTCAGAGAAGCAACAGGACACATAAAATTACAGGGCATGCAGAAAGATTTGTTGAGTGTTAGTAGTACTCATGCAGGAAATATGAGAGATAAAAAACATATCATTCATGCCATTGTGCCTGTTTCCTCCTTCTCACTGCATGATCTAAAAACACTTCTGAAAAGAATATTGCAAACGTCATGTGGAACTGATGCTTCAGCTGCACTTACTCCATTGACTTTCAACCAAGGTAATCTGAAGTTACATTTATTATTTGTCTGATACCCAGTGCATTGATATTAAGATACTTTGATCCACAAATGCATATTCATGCTTGACAGGTAGGACTTTTGCTCCTTTACAAATAGGTAGGAGGGGTTAGGGAATTCCAGTGTTTGATGTTGTCCTTTATGATTTGTGGATGGATTGTATTAAGTTTAAAGATCCATTCCTTTTCTCGTTTGTTTAATCTGTTACTGCAAGTGTCCTGTTCAGTGCCTTGCTTAGCTGAAAAAGGATGTCATTCAGACAAACAATCTTGCATTGATGAGATAAAAGCAACTAGGCTTTGAGGGTTCTTGGTAAAAGTCCATTTAATATTTTGGATGTAATATCTTTTGTGGAGATCTTGGTAAAGAGTTTTAACTTTGTTTGTAAAATCAGTGGTTGGTCATGGTTTGCTGTGTAATAGGTATTCTAATCAGGCAATTCATGTGTGAGGATCACAACTATGGAACTTTTGTCAGCAATTTTTATGGTGGTATTTCTAGGGATTTTTCAAAATATTAATGACAGTTCAGCTTTGGCATGATCCATGAAAATTTATCAGCATGGCTGACACTCTTTCTAGGACTTACGTAATATGATAACTTTCCAACTTTTGGGTCGGGTTAGGGAATTGCTGATTTTGAAACTTTTCATGAAAGACCTCAGTAAGAGATTGCTCCCTTGTCTGGTTCCTGAGGCAGAGGCTTTGGCAATCTTGTGGGACAGAATTCTGGGATAAGATTTGCCCACCTAGCAGTCATAGAAAGATTCATTTGCTTCACTACTCAATATTCCTAACACCTGTAGCTTAACCAGCCAGTCTTTGTTGATAATATTTGAATTAATGATGCCTCAACCTCTACAACTGTCAGCTTCAAAGCATTTCTATGAGTGCCAAAATGAGAAAGTTGCCACAACAATGTAAAAAATATCCATCCTCACATCAGGATATTATTAAACAATCCCTGTGAAGATCAGGGTTAATTGGTCTTCAGCAGCGCATGCTTGTCATAACAGGCAACTAAGCGGATCAGGTGGTTAGGCTCACTGACTTGGTAGACGCATGCCATCGCATCCCAATTGTGTAGATTGATGCTCATGCTATTGATCACTTGATTTTCTTGTCTAGACTCTATTATTTACAAACCGCCGCCCTATAGATGGAATATTCCTGAGTTAAGCAACAAACAAACTTAGTGGAACAGATTCTAACTCAGGAGACCTAGCCTTGGAATCCTGTCTCAAACTTTGCTTATTCCAAATATTCCAATTTCTTTCCTTTATCTTGGTAAAGAACAAACAAGGTAAAGATCAGTTGTAACTGTTGTTTGATCTGGAGACTGTTAGCGATGTCACATAAAATAGAAGTCACATCATAATGAACCGGAGTTTCTCATAAGAAGGTCTAGCAGTGACAGCATAATAGGCCAGAAGTTGCTTTATATGGACCAGTAAAGACATCATTGGCTGGAAGTGATATCATAATTCACAGGAAGTGATGTCTAATGTCCGGAAGTGATAGCAAGGAGTTGGTTATTAAAAATGATTTTATTTATTGGAACATTCTGTCCAAGTTCTTCATCCCAATTCCTATTAAGGTCTTTGTGGTTCATGTTTTTAAGGGGAAGATACACTGACATGTATGCCTACATAGATACAAATAGGCGTACATGTCAGTTTCACTTTGCATCTGTATAAGTCAGAGCTTACTTGTCCATAGTAGGTTTCTGGACAGAAATATACCAGAGTGAAGGTTGCATGATAATTAGAAACAATTATATATATCATATATACATATAATATATATCAGATTTGTAAACTTACCTCTATTACATCTTGTACAAGATATATATGTCTTTGTTTGGGAATATACTTGGAACCATACAGGATTTGGAAGCACACATCACACTTAAGACTGAGTTCAATATGCTTTAAGTTAGAGCTACTAGACTGACTTGAACAGGAACGACTCATGTCAGAAGTGAAGACAAGTGAATCCAAAGAAATTTGGTAGAATTTGAATAAACAGGTGCCAATTCTTCCTCTTGATCATAAATAAAAGGCTTTACCCAAGTTGAGAACGAAATCCTGTCTTTAGTATTTGGAGTAAGAAAATTGATTAATATCTTTTTTTTAGTATATTTGCTCCTGTATAAATTCTTTGACCAAAGAAAGGAGTGCCCTCATTGGAGGCTGCATGAATGCAGAGATGAACCCAATATTATATGCTTATACATGCAACATTGCATTCAGAAGACAAAAGCACATGGGAATGCTAATATTTGTTGCAATTACCAGTGCAGAGTGTGGAAGAGGCAAAGCAAAGTGGAGTATACCATTTTACACACATTGATGTTCTTCACAAAACAGCCAAGACCTCATGCCAGACAGCAGGGTTTGACACTAAGGGACAATTCTGAACGACATTGTGTAGTATATAGCTGATGTGGTCTAGTTAAAAATCATGCCTGGCTTGACTGATCATGCAGATATTTAATGAACACTGTTTCAAATAAGGTCAGGTCTAGTAAATTTTAAGACCCACTAACCCTCTGGCCTTGTTAACGTCAAACCCTGTCACAGAGAGATCCTATACAGTTGCATTTTACTCTAATCAGATGGCCAACAAAGATGTCTCTACCAGATCTGAATACTAGTATTTTGGGTGACAAATTCAACTCTCAGCTGAACAAGGTGTGATACTATAGCGACTATATAGTGGTACCAATGTCCCTGTGCCATAGAACAAAAAAACATAATTTTTCCTTATCCTGACTCATGCTCTTTTTGCTTGTCTTCTTCTTCTTGCAAACATAGTGGAACACTTGTGTCTCCCTAATTGAAGCTCCCTTCAATTTAAAATCACTAATCAATGCTCACCAAGAGTTGCCTCTCTTTGCCCCTTTTGGCGGGAAAGGTGGCGCCACTCTCTCCTTCTTTGCCCAGTGAGCAGGATGTGAGAGCGCCTGTGTCTCCCTACGGCACTATATCCTTTGATTATTCTTACTTAGTTACCTCTACAAGTCTCTTATAGAGGTTTAGCTAGTATCCTTCAACAATATGGTTTGATATTTATTCGTATTTACTTGTATTTACTGCTGTTTATTCGCGGTTTACGCCGTGATTGTTCAGTACATTACGTTGATGAAAATCTGTACTGTTTGCAAGTTACGTTTTTCTGCTGCTGATCCGCATTTAATATGCCCTAGCGGTACTGTACCATGTGCTTTCAGTCGACATTGCAGTTTCTGTATTAATTTATCTCATTCTGCTTTTAACAAATATTTATTTTGCATCCTGAGACGCACAGCAGATAGGTCACGTAAACAGAGTCTAGGCATGGCTAATGCTACAGAACCCCTCGCAAGTCAACTGCTGTCGGACGACCCCCTCCCGTCTGGTGTTCCGCTGGAGTTAGCCTCAGAGGAGAGGCGTTGGGACGCAGTCCGCCGTCTCCAAGAAGCGTCCTGCGTCACCAGACCTCCCGTCATCGCAGCCTAAGACAAAGAGGGCATATACGTCACAACGCAGACTCCTCACCCCCAGGGCAGCGTCTACTACCAAGGGGAAAACAACAAGAACCGAGATTGTTCCCGCCGCAGAACAGGGACTGTATGATGAGCAGCTGCTCATCATACCTGATGTTCATCGCAAGGAATGACCGGTGTCAGCTACAGTGACGTCAGCGCAGATTCTCAATCAGCCCGATGTATCAACGCTGAGGACTGACGATCTTCCCATGGGTCCCGTCGCTACCAACGCAGATAGGGCAGCTACTACAACTTCGCAGACCATCCCGGGCGACCTGGTTCAACAGGTTATGAAGTTGATGGAAGACCGCTACGGACTGGAGAAGAAACAACCAGCCCAGGACCTGAGCCTTCACGAAGGCTCCACCGCAGACGTCACCCCTGAGGGACCCCCCGTCAACGTAGCGGCTGCTACCAAGTCACCAGTGAGGGACCAGCCTGCGCGAAAGACGTCACAGTTTACCTCTGCGAAGGACCAAGACGATCAGAGTTCGTCACCAGCCTCGGACTCTGATGATCAACATTCGCGAAGGCGTTCGCGAAGAAGGATCCTCTCATCCCCGGACTGTGCCTCGGACCACCAGCCTTCGCAAAGGCCTTCGCGAAGGTCAAGTCGTCACTCCCCAGGACCGGACTCAGATGAAGCTTCGCGAAGGTCTTAGCGAAGGACTCCAGTTACAGACTCCAAGTCATCTTCGTCTAGAAGGTCATCGAGGGATTCCCCAAAAGCTTCGCGAAGCTATCGTCGTTCACCACAACGTAGATCTCCGCAAAGGTCACCTTACAGACGCAGCTCGTCAGGCCATTCTCCACGTCGATCGCCTCGCCGTTCACCTTGTCGATCGCTGCATATATCTCCACGTAGATCACCACGCAGGACACCTCATAGATCACCACGCCGCCGCCCTCATAAGCCTCCGCGAAAGTCTCCAGTCAGGTCTCTCATGCGCCGCCATGCACAGTTGTTCAAGTATACAGAACTCCACCTCAGTCACCATCGGAAGAGTATCATCGGCCTCTTACCAACGCTCCGGATACCGAAGATGATGGAGGCATCATATTCTCTGATGCAGAGATACGCTACTGGATGGCCAACAACCTGGACCTGGCTTCGTCTAAAGACAACAACCCGGCTCACACCTATCTCATGAGGGAGGACGACGCAGACACGATCACCCTGCCTCCGATTGACCCTATAGCAACAGTTCCACAGAACTTGGATGCAGCTTTCCAAACAGCCACTAAAGCTCATGCGCCGCACTTACCTCAGTTCAACGCCAAAAAGTTCTTTGCTCATAACATGGACCCATTCTACAAAGCTCAAGAAATCAACGATAACTTTAAAGTCATCCACGATGCCAAGGCCAAGACGTACAAGATCGAGGATCGCAAGCTGGCTCAAGTCGAAACTATGACCAGAAGAATGTTTTTCGGCCTCAACAGATCCAGAACT